CTCAAATTCGTGAACTCAAGATGCAGTTGCATACTTTGCGTCGTGACAATGCGAGCATTGAATTTTATATACAGAAGGCAAAAGGAATTGTGGATAGACTAGCTGCGCTACAACATCCGATTTCCAATGATGATTTGGTTGAATTTGTTCTTGTTGGAATAGGTCATGTTTATTGTCCTTTTACTATATCACTAGAATTGCGTCAAGAATATATTACTTTTGATGCTTTATATGGCCTTCTCCTGAATGAATAGCAACAACTAAAAAGAGATGAGACCATTAATGTCATTGCACCCACAGCCCACTTTACTAAGAGTTCCTTTTCTAGCACTCAAGGACGTGGTAGAGGACGAGGAGGGCGTGGTCGTGGATGCTCCTCCAACCAAGAGTTCACCCAACAGAACTCTTATCATAGTTCTCCAGCATATAAACAGTTTCCAAAGGCACAACTACAAGTTTCAGAATTTTCAGGGATTATTTATCATAATTGTGAAGGTAAAGGCCACATTGCACGTGTATGCCCATCACCTAAAGCCAATAGTGGCAGCATGGTGAATGGTCGACCTATTTCCAATTTTGCTGGTTCTCCAAACCCACCTACCCAAACTTGGTTGATGGATAGTGGCATCACACATCATATCACTATAGACCTTGATAATCTAGGTATCCACTCTGAATACCAAGGTCCTGAAGAAGTGACACTAGGAAATGGCTCCAAATTACCCATCTCTCATGTTGGTAAAAGTTTTGTTATTGTCTCCAATAATAAATTCAATCTTGATAATATTTTACATGTTCCCACTGCTACTCACAATCTATTATCATATAGCTCTTTTGCCAAGTCTAATAATGTGTCTGTTGAATTATTTCCTAACCATTTTTGATTAAGGACTTGGCAACGAGGGAAATTCGATACACGGGGTCCACGAGTGAAGGCTTATATTCACTTCCAGTGTTGAAATCAGTATCCCCAGTTTCATGTGCAACTTCCATTGGAGTTTGACATGCTCGTCTTGCTCATGCATCCTATCCTACAGTTTGTCATACTTTACCAGCCATTGCTCTCACCTCTTTGTGAGCACGTGATTTTTTTGCTTCACGAAAATTACTCCAAAAGAAATAAAAAATAAAACAAATTTCATCTGTGTACAATTTTGAGAATTTGTGTGACATTTTGGTAATTATTTTGTCCGTAAATATTTACCCTTGTTGTGATTAATTAAAAAATATAAAAATACATGTTGCATGCACATTCAAGATTTAATTGTGAATTTTGGAATTAATTAAACCACATTTTATTTTAAAAGAAAAAAATCACAAAAATATGCATTTGTTGCATTTTGTCATTTATGTGTGCCGTTGTGTAATTTTATTTTTTTAATTAAATGTTTGACCTTGTGTGTTTATTGTTGTTAAGGTTTAATTAATATTTTTGTAGGCTAATTTTGGTTTTACAAATTATTTTTAGAATTTTTATTGATTATTAATTAAAAGTAGAAAAAGGAAAAGAGTAGAAAAAAACTAAAGAAAACTCGGTTTGGGCCAAACAATTAAAATGAAAGCAGGCCCAAACGAGCTAGCCCAAGGCGTAAACCGGTCGGTCTCCTCAGAGGTGCCCGAACGTCACCGTTTTTGTCACAGTTGAGCGGGGCCGTTGATCTCAAATGGATCAACGGCCAAGATCACATCTTTCATACCCGTCCCCTGTACCCGACCCATTACCCGGTCAGCCCGACCCCAACACTAAACCAAACGACACCGTCTTATTAGTTACTTGATCCTAGCCGTTGATTTTAATCGATCCAACGGCCGGGATTAAATCCCTCACACCGTATATATTCCTAAAATACTACCCCAGCCCCCCCCAAAGCCATGCCCCTTCACCTCTTCGTCTCTGGGTTTCAGAGGCCAAATATACCCCCGCCTTTTGCCACCGTGCACCGCCCACCGGAAATCGCCTCACGGCAGTTCCGGTGGTCCAAACGACCCCAACTTTATACCACGGATTCCCCTCGACCTCCCCACTCCAGATCCATAACCCTTATCCTTCGAATCATCCTACAACCTCTCAAATATTCGATCGAAGATCCCCCTCCCTAACCCAAGTTCATCGGAACGACCCTAGCTTTACACCACAGCTCCTCTATGACCTCTTCTCTCCAAATCCACCCCCTTTCCTTCGAATCTAGCCCCAGTCACTCGAACGTTGATTTTGAACCAGGAACCCTAGTGTCGCCACAAGATCCCCTGGTGCCGGTGCCACCTCCAAACCATCCTTAACCCAACACCCAGTAGCTTCGTTTACTCCCTCACCACAAATCCCATGCATGTTTCCCCCGAATCCCTTCGAAACTGGTTAACTCTCAAATCAGTTGAAGTTTTCATTTGATGAACCCTAAAGGAACCAAGTTAAGGGAGCAATACGCAGTAGAAAACTGAGGTCGTAATCGACCTTAGTCACCTGTTCTCAGTCGAGAACACTTGATTAAGGTCCTTTTCGGCTTCAGAATCAAGTTTAAAACTTC